ACTAGGACACCATGGAAATTAATTGACCAGGACTTCACGTTGGAAGTGTTTGATAGAGTTGTTTATTTATCATACGGCCCACTTAAAGTGGAAACGTCTTCTGAAGACGACGTTGAGGCCGCAGAAGGAAATCTCATAGGTTGTGTGAATGACGTTGGCCTCTGTGGGCATTTAATAGCATCCTCTGACCTGTGTCACCAGCCCGGCACCGTTCTCGCATGTAAAGGTTGTCGCTATCAGCATTCCTGAGAGTAGAATAGCTGGGCAGACGATAATATAGCCGAGTACGCTGGATTGGGAAGAGGCGCATGTTTCATAATCTCTAACTCTTGCTTCATGCCAGATTTTAACAAAATATTACCAAGTAATTGATTACCTTCATCAGTAATCTGCTGTGACTGGTGTACTGCGAGATATCGAGTCGATTCTCAGCTGCAGTATACTATGTTCTTTACCTCGTCAGAATTTGTAAGGAATATATCGATTGTCGTTGTTCGAGTTTTTTTGGTATCGGTGTCAGTGCTTGGGACAGACGTTCGTCGTCGTCAGTGCATGTCTCGTCATCACTAACGTGTTTGTTTATCGGTAAATAACACTATCACCGAGACCATCCAGCCCCTATGTCTTTATTTCCGTTCTTGTGACGTGTCCGACTGCAATTTTCCAGTAGTCAGAAGCTGCCTCTTTGTAATGCCGTGTCAACTAGTTGACGCACTTCACGGCATTTGAAGGTCGATCCTCTGGAAATCAATTTGCGACTCGTACCACATATTTGCAGTGTTAATCAGCTATACAAGCAGACTGTTCGGGGAAAAATGGTAGGGTATGTTGTTTCCATTTATTTGTAAACTCTACGACAATTATTGATACTTTTCGCGTGTTTTACTGATCATTCATGGGAGAAATGTGCATTTAAAAAGTGAGACTATTTCATGGCTCGCATTAGTGTTTCTCGGCCAGGAGCCGGCACGTGGTTTTGTTTTCACGGTTTTAAGCAAACGTGAATGGAAATTAGTGTCACAACGCTAAACCCTGCAGACTCGACGAAGGGACCATCGCGATGTTACCCAAGTTCGCGCAAATAAAAGTTATTCAAAGAAGTCACTTCGTTCACGAGTCTCGGCGCTCGGGCGAGCGAGAGGTCAGCTGTCTCGATTCTCATTCGGCTCAGTGTTACTGGAGGTAGTTGCCCCTCCATTTCATTCCAAACTGTCAGTTCTAGAGTAAAAGCCATTAGTTATTAACAGATGACAAGGAAGACGACTGTCTTATGGGATGTTGCGCCGAGTAGATTCGTAGATATTTACCAACGTTTCAGACTTTCTTACTACCTGTATCATCAGGGCAATGCTAGCTCGTTTTAGGCGAATAAACTCAATGTTAGCTGTTCGTATAGGAATTGTGTCAGTGCGGGAGGCTTCATGAAGTACAGGTGCACTTAGACGTGTTCTTGGTCAGGTGAACCGTCTGTTTATTTTTTAACTAGCCGGGGCTAAAGGAACTGTGGAACGTTTTAGTTCGTAATTAATTTTGCAAAAAAATTGTTTTTTAATCAATCTCCTAGCTCCTAAATGTAATAAAAAGTGACTAGGCAACGGGCTGGACAATCAGGGTTTGAATCCCGGTAGGGGAACGATATTTTTATCTTAGCTACAGCATCCGAGCCAGCAATGGGATACACCTAGCCTAGGATCTAGTCGGTACCGGGGTTAAACATGACGGAGCGTGAAGCTGATAATTGACCTCCATCTTGTGCGGAGTTCTGCAAAATGTGAGGCTTTGCTTCCGTATGTCTTCATCGCGAGGGAAAACTCGTGTGTGTGACACGAAATGATGAGGGAATAAGTGTCTATGGTCTTTTTAAACACTAACAGTGCATTAGGCTGAAGTAAAAGTAAAGTAAAGTAAAGTTTGTCCCACTATACGCCATGTAGGCGTTTGGGGTGAGTGGAGGTATAGCTCCTCTCTTCCTTGACCTCGGCACTAGATGGGAGGTGAGTGGTCAGCATCACGCCCCGGCCGGCTTTACCCCCGGGAAAGGACCCCGGTACCC